TCATAATTCCAATCTTGGAAATAATAAAATATACGTGCGTAGTTTTCATTGCACAGATTCGCTCGCTTTGTTTGACGCTCAGATTAAAACATTAAAAAGGAAACTTGATACTATTATTCATTTAGTTGCTCATACATACGAGAAAAAACGCAAACGCAGAGGATTAATAAACGGAGTTTCAACTGCATTTAAACGGTTGTTTGGGACGCCAGATGCAAACGATGCAGATTATTATAATGAAGCAATTAATTCTTTGAAAAATAAAAATCACCAAACTCCGATTCTAATGCAACAACAAATAAGAGTAATGTCTTCTGCAATCGAGAACTATAATAGTTCCATCGTTTCTTTAAAATTAAATGAAGAGAAATTAAATAATAATTTCGAAAGATTTAATAAATTTAATGATCAAGCTAGAACACAGATAACTGAGATTTCGTATGTGACCGCAGTGACAGAGCATATTAACTTATTATTAATCCTAAAGATTTGAGAAACGAACTTCTCAATGTTAAGCTGGACTCAGATGTAACTTTTCCAGTTAGTTTAATAAATGATGAAGCTACGTACAAGTATTTTTCTCTTTGCGATCTTAATGTCATTTACAATAACGACATTTTAATATTCTCAATTAAAATACCACTTATTTCAAGATTAAATTATCATTTATATAAATTATTGCCATTACCTGTTTTTGATCCTAAGGGATCCATTTATTCATTTATTGAACCTACGTACCCTTTCCTCATCCTAAGTACGAGTAAAACTAGGTTTGCTTCGATAAAAGATTTGTCTAGTTGCAAGAAGATCGACGACAAGACCCAGTTATGTTAGGATATGGTATCTTATCTAACTGCCCAGAATGCAAATTGTGAGGTTACCCTGAAGCTCAATCAAGTTAAGCAGATCCCTGATGACTGCAACACGAAAACCATAAAAGCCAATCTGGAAATCTATCACAAAATCGCTCAGAATCAATGGCTGTTTATTGTTTCTTCGCCTGTTGGAGCTACTCTGTCATGTGATACCAAACCCGAGAACTTTATAGAATTCACATTGACGGAAGCTGGCATCTTGAAGTTGAAGCCTCATTGCAAATGCTTCACTCTTTCTACTATTCTGTCTTCGACCTCAAACCAAACAAGCAATTTCACTCATTTCGTTCCTGACATCAACATCAATATTGACGATTGCTGTGTAGAAGAAATCGAACAGATGAAGAAGATATCCATGGACCCAATTCATCTAAATAACATAGATCTATATGAATTACGTCATGCAAAGCATAAACTAGAAATGTTCGAAGAAACTTTGCAACATGAAATTAATAAACCGTTTGGTTCCGGATATCACCCAATCTTCAACACCATCTAATCTGTAGCAATCATCTTCATAATCTTGATTGCAATATGTTGCTGCTGTTCCAAGTTTTGCTGTAGCTGTAGATGGATACCTTGTTTCGGCCGATTTTTCCCCGAAAAAGTCGTCACACGTGAAATCAATATCTACAGTCACGATTCATCGATATCCAACAGCAATATCTTCTTGAACTCAAATGAACCTGTCAGACTTTTGTAACAAACCCCGAAGAGACGTCATGGACCAGAAGCACTCGAGCTGAAAACAGTTGTTGATACCACCAATGAGCCAGGTGACACTCAGCAATACCGAAATCCTCTGATGCTACGAGGAAGACGATCAAATTCCAAAGGGAAATAAAAGTAATCAATCAAGTCAACCCATTGATTAATTTTAACAGGGGAGGAACCTGTTATGTAACGCCACTGCTTCGCCATTGCTTTGCCACTACTGCAGGCCACTGACTTGCAGCGAAGAACGAAACTGCTTCATCAGCATACCGCTTATTCAGCATAATTACTTAGTTTATAGGAATATTATTTTTTAACACCATTCTTGAGCCAACTTTATTGAATTGTACACCGTACAGCAAAATATTGTCAATCGGGTCTAGAGTAGGGTATCTAGTAAATAAGTTTTGATGTGTAATTTGTTTAAATAAAAGTTACAACGAATAATTGGATGCCAAGAGACTTGCTTCTGTTCCCTAACTAAAAGAACTTAACACTACATTATGTCAGGACTCGAGCCTCATGTATGATCCCATATGAGCTCGCAATGACCATTTTTATTGTACAAACTGGTTGGAATGTGAAAATAGTCTATAGCATCAGTTTCTGACAGAGTCAAAAATAAGCCAAAATACTTGAAAATTATATCTTAGCTTATCGCTACGATCGATCACCCATGCAAAGTTTAACTAGACGAAATTTTTCGCCCTTGCAAGCGCTAATTTTTATCTTTTCATGATCGGTCAATGACAGGACACAATTACACCCCAAATCAGGTTGATCGGGGGCAAGTACAGGCAGTAGAAAAGTGAATTGATAATGCGGTCGAGGTTGAAAAGTTTCAATGGCCCTATCATATGTGAACAAGTGCATTTTAATGATTTTAAGGGCCAGGCGGCTTTCATAAAAAAACAGTCTTTAGATGGGGAAAAAACGTGTTTATGTTCACATGCTAGCGTTTTAATGATAAACGCATGATGTGGACTTTCAAGTTTTCAGACATGATAATGTTATTCAATATTTTAGTTGGATATAGGTGAAAAAACACTCTTCAAACGATCAATGTATATATTTTGTCGATGTTTCGATCTCTATGAGATCATCCTCAGGACTCTAAAAGTTTTTTTAAATTAATTAACCTAAGTATCTATAAGAACAATCAACAACTAAGGAAAATACACATTAAAAACTCAACAATCACTATGTAATACGTTCAAGATCTAAAATGGAACACTTAGGTGGATAAAATTACAATTCGCCTTTGAATGAAATGATAGAAATTGAAAAACACCCGAATCATGTCAACAAAAAGCAAGACGTCGATAATCTTAGTAACTCTTATTTCAACCTAATTAACAACATAAAAAAGCCAAGAACACTTTATTAGGCATAGTGAAACACCCTATAGTAGTTGGTCCCCTGGTATATCTATTTCGATGGCATATCGGTAGGTTGTATCAAGTGGGAAAAAATCTAAGGAATGCATCTTATTTATGTTTGGTTGTTTTTGTGTTTTTTCTCATATGCAACAAATAAGAAGAGTACTTGCTTGAGAACGATTGCTTCTCGACTGTTGGTCAATTATAGCCCATATAAAGAAAAATAAAATATTAAATCAAAAAACAAGTATCCATTTTTTTCCAATTTCCATGATTGTTATCATTGTATCATTATGGTTTCAAGTTCAACGGGGATGATCTAGGTACTATATATGTAAGTGTATTTTTAACCTGCCTGTTGGTTTGTGTGTGTTGTTTGTCTTTTTTCTCTTTTTTTTTTTAATGTACCTTCTGATTTTTGTTAAAGTTAAACAATTGATATTTTTGCTCTTTTATTTATGTAATTAGTGTTTATGCCAGAAAAATTATTAGAAGCTTTTACACCAAATACCTATTCATTTACATTTTTCCGAATCGATACTGAGGTATCGACAGCGAAAAACTTACATTTTTGCAACTGTACTAGTCGCTTTAAGACTCAACAAAACCAAACAATGAGCTTCTCTATGTAAGTGAAATAGTGAAATTATTCGCGAATATTGGTGGTTTACATCCAAAGTTAGGGGCAAAAGTACGAGTATGGAATAACGGAAAAAGCTTCTACTTATCTTACGCCGTTTAGTTCGATAAACTGTCTCTAGCTGGTGGGTATTTCGAAAATAATAAAATGTATATTAGGACGTCATACTTCATACATAGAATGTACTTAGGTAACTTAGGAATTCAGAAAAAGCAATACCTTGGTAGGTCCTCAAGACTGACATGTTCATTGTTCACTTATTGTAAAATTGGTCAAAACCGATTTTTATTCAATAACGTGAAAACTTATTTTTATATTACTATGGTCTACACACAGTAGGTATCTACACTGTTTAGAAGTGCATAGAATATAGTTATCAGTATTTAGTGCAGTTCAATTGGAAATTTACTTTCTTATTCAGCTTAACCTTCAGTTATTTGGATAAAGCCGGAATTCTTAAATTTCGTACGCCAATGGTACCTATTTTGTTTTGAAAGAAGAGGACGAAATGCGGACTATTGCAGACGAAGAATTCCTCAAAGAACAGTTCAACCCGAGCAGGTGATAGCTGATCTTCAGCTTGACAGATGGTTGCGCCTTTTCGAATCCCAACTAAAATTTTATGATGACCCGAATATTTTTGGAATGTGTATTTGCTATTTTTTTCCAGTATACCTTGTGTCTGAAAACATAAGTTTCTTAAAACCTAACATATCGTATTTTTTTCTTTTAATATTGATATGAAAAAAAAAAGTTCTTTCCAAAACAACAAGAACAAACTGTGGGTAAAAATTTTAAATCAACTTCTCACCCCTTAGTGGGAATAGGGCACGTGCCACATATGTCCAAGTGAGGTTACTATCAAGGGATTACCCGGAACATATCCGCCCTAAGTACACACGTATCAAGATCATCGTGAGAATTTATCGACTAAACTAAACAGTTTAAATCGCATAATGAAGCTATTAAAGCCATTATTGTATATTCCCATGGATTGTGCCTGACAAAACAGTTTTCGACCAATTCGAGACGGTGATTATGATTGAGAATTCAGAGTTTAAAAGCACTGTAATTTTGATGGAATTAACTTTCTATAGAAATTCTTCATAATGCATTCGGGTCGACACTTTTCACTTATAATATTTTCAATGAAAACAAAAAACAAAATGAAGAAAAACTGCTTCTGTAATGTTATGCAAATTATGGCTAAAATATTTTTGCGATTTATTTTGCCTAGTGTTCCGTCATCTATTATTCTATAATTTATCTAATTAATAGATTATTCTTCTGAAAAATGTTGACCTGTTGACCAGTATTATCATAAAAACAAGTTTGCATTGCAAGGCCGAGCTGAATACAAATCTGGTTAGCTTGTTTATATTCATATGAGAATGGGACGAACCCAAACACCAAGCCAGTTCAATGTTACTTGTTGGTTCCGAAGGGATTGTGCGGGATGATGTTCATCTATATAATGTTATTGTTATTTGTGGCTAACATAAACTGTTTTACACCAAATTGTGAACCTAAAAATCAGTTCAAGTTTTATCGCTTTCCTATTAGTGGCTGTTCAGAAATATTCCAACAAAAATGCAAATCTGATCCTTCAGGTTACTTCAAAGCTCTAGGACGCGTCTCAGTCGTGAAAATCGGAGAAACTGATATATTACCAACGTGTGCATTTTATAAGGCTCCAGCTCTAAGAAACATATACGGAGTGAACAGCAAAATTCAGGTCTTAGCTCCAGGATGTTTTGTTGACCTGTCCAATTTGGAATCTATACGTTTGGCATTTAACTATATTGTTCAAATTGGGAAAGATGTTTTCAAAAATGTGACAGTTGAATTGTTGGACTTAAGTTGGAATAAGCTTGTATTTATAGATACCGACGCTTTAGCAGAGGTTCAGAATTTAAAATACCTTAACTTAAGTAAAAACTCCCTATTGACAATGGCATTTAATAATCTACCAACTACGCTTGTCGATGTTAATTTAGCAAATAATCTCCTTAACAGAGTCGCCATAAATAATGGAAAGTTTCTTAATTTAAGTAAAATTGATCTCAGCAATAATTTAATAGAAAATGCAGCTATTCTAATCGCCTACCCCATAGAAGAAATGGATTTTACTGGTAATCGTCTTTCCAATTTCGATTACATAGAAGTTGCTTCAGTGGTTAAATTTAAGATGGGGAAAAACAATTTTGAAAATATGCCCAGATATCTTGAAAATTTAAATGCAAAAGAAATTGACCTTTATCCCAATCCTTGGAGCTGCCAAGAACTATTCACTTTATGGGAATACCTTATAATTTTTGATACTCGTCTTGCTCCCCAAGATAAAGGAAAAAATCCCCCCGCTGAGTGTTCTGCAGTAAGTGGAAATATTTTAACAGCAAAGAAACCAAGATCCACTCCTTGTGAAGACGACCATCAATGTCCAGATTTTATGGTGTGTAAGTCGAAAAAATGTTGGGACCCTTGTGATAGTTCTTTATGCCATGAAAGTAACGGATGTGAAGCTAAAAATCACCAGTTTTTGTGCACCTGTCCTAAGAACCTTCTTTCAGATCCCTTGGATGTTTTAGGCAAATGCCAAAATGTAGAATGTTTTAGACATGCAGACTGTTCTAATGAATTGTCGTGCATCGATAAAAAATGCATTCCATTTAATGCTGCATTATCACCAGAACGGCCACCTCCATCAACTAGTCGACCACCTCCATCAACTAGATTTACTAGAAGACCAACTACAACGACTACACGACCCCCTCCATATCATCAGAACACCGATTTTAATAAAACTCCACCACCCTTGGTCTCAGATGTCCCTTGGTGGTTTGATGACATTCCAAAATACGTACCATCCATCGATTCACCAACCCACGTGAAAAATTGAAACTCTTAATGCTGATTTAGCTTGAATACATTATACAATTTTATTTTTAAATACATGAAAACATTTTAGTTTTTATAATGGGCTCTTTCACTAATTTTTGAAATTGGCATATTTGGATAAAGCAACTAAAGACAGAATTTTCTGTATTTTTACTTTTGAAAAATTCATAGTCCTTCTTGAGAAAACAGAAAAAAAAGAATTACCTCCAAATAAAAACCCAGAATTTATTTCTATGACGTCGCAGCAAGCAATTTGACCGTGTTGCCACTAATTGTCGACATTGAAAATTTGTAATAGATTTAATTCTGAAATGTTCGCAAAATATCATGAAAAGTAGTTAAATTAATCACTTATGGATTCAAGATTTTATAACTTTTTTATTGAAATTATGTTTAAACACAATTTTTTATGTTTAGTTTTATTTTATTTTTTTACGTTGCACTACATCTAGTCACCACCGACAACAGCGCATTCGAACCTTTACCTGCTTTTACTACAGGGTACACAGCCGAGGCGGTAAGCTCCTTTGTAACAACAAGCGAAATGAAAAATATTTATGTGACGTCAGCAAATCGGCGCGTTTTAATTTAATTTGAATTTAGCCAATTTGAAATGCCTGTAAAAAACTTATTTAACCTTGTAGAACTTTTTTTTTTGGTATATATGCCTAAAATAGCCCCTCCTTTGGGATTTTATACTCAAATTACGTATTCAAATTTTAGTGAAAGACCCCATTAATTTTATAATATGTATAATTAAATAATAAAACATTTTTTCAGTTATTTATTTTCCTAAGCAACATCTTTGTTCGAGCTGTGATGGCGCTATTTTTGCCTGTGCCTCTCGAGTAAAATCACTGCATAATTTAGGCAGACTCTAGTGTAGTCTATTGATGCGGAAATAAATGTAAAGTTATTTTCGCAAAGTTTGAATTTGTATAGTCGGACATTATCAAAGGGCCAACCAGCGTTCCAAGGTAGAGATGAGGTTCCAGTCTAGACATAATAAGCGCCATATGGATTCGCTGGTACAACTTAATCATTAATTAATCAATAATAGGAGGTAGGTAAACAATAAAATAGAACAATAACATGAAACATATCATAGACGACGCAAATTAATTAACAAACATCATTATTGCATTATGTTATCTGAATTTCTACTACTTTTGAGGGATCCAATTTTGAGAAAATTCTGAAGTTGATCATTATAGTCCATGATATCTACCGGTATGTTCCACTTAAATAACTTTCTTTGAACCTTGTCAAGCATATCATGATATGTAATGCTTATGGAGGCTTAACAGTAGAGACATTCTTAAGGCGCTGCCGTAATAGATATTAAAGTCTTATTGGGTTTAGAGAGTGATATAATTGAACTTCTGAATCTGAAAAAACTTCCTAACAGTAATATACAGGGTGGAAAATTAAAAAGGATCCACCTAGATTTTCTCGAAAATTATCAGGAAATTAAAAAAACGCCGAAGACGTCGATTTTGTTTGCAAGGGGGACACTTTTTGGCTATTTCAAAATTTTTCTAGATTGCACCCCCTTACCGGGGTGAGTTGCACCCTCAAAAGTTGAATAGGGAAACTGGATCGAGTGGTACCTTGTTTGAGAGGTATTTGAGATGACTTTACAGATCTGTAATTTTTTTCGAAATCTGACTATTAGTTTTTGAGATAGTCGCCTCGGAAGTTGCCATGGGGCGAAAAGAGAACGTGTTTTTCGTACATTTCTACAAGAAAAAATTGAAATTCCTGAAACACGTCAATTTTGTTTATTTTGAACCTTTGCTTCTTTGTCAGTTTGAACCTTTTGAACAACCTTTCAAACATGACTCACTTTTCATTTTTTCACGAAAAACACGTTCTCTTTTCGACCCATGGCAACTTCCGAGGCGAATATCTTGAAAACTAGAAGTCAGATTTCGAAATAAATTACAGATCTGTAAAGTCATCTCAAATACCTCTCAAACAAGGTACCACTCGACCCAGTTTCCCTATGCAACTTTTGAGGGTGCAACTCACCCCGGTAAGGGGGTGCAATCTAGGAAAATTTTAAAATAGCCAAAAAGTGTCCCCCTTGCAAAAAAAAATCGACGTGTTTGGGCGTTTTTTAAATTTTTTGATAATTTTCGAGAAAATCCAGGTGGATCCTTTTTTCCACTCTGTAATTATTTGATTATAATCAATTCAGCCATTCACTTTCAATATTGATCAGTCAGTATACACCAAACATAAATTTTCAAGGCCAAGCGAAGTAAAAATCTTGAAATTTCATGGTTTATGCTAACAAGATTATCTAGTTCATATATTTTCTTGAGCAAAATCAGAAGAAACGTAAAAATTATCTTTTTAAGTTGTCGTTATTTATACCCAACCTACCTACTGTGAGCACGACTATCAATGTCCAGTATTGTTAAATCGAAAAAATCTCAAGCTCCTCTGATGTGAAGCAGTAAATGTGAAACTGAAAATCAACAGTCATTAACTATGTACGTATGAATAACTCGATTTTTGCCAGATATAAGAGAAAAAAAAAATCATCATCAAAAATTAGACAATTGTAGATCATCAACATCATAATAGCTGATCACTCGATACCGAGTATGATTATCTCCTATTTATTCTTATTGTCGCCGATTGTGTGTTTTCTGATGGCTATATAAACCATTTCTGGAGCCGCATACTCTTCCACAGTCTTGGCACACCTAGCCTCTGACAGCATTGTCTCTTCCAGTTGACTGTAGAGAATCTGTCGTGGAAGACGTGTTTCGGCGGACGAGGTCACCTGTCCACAGGCCAGTGAAGTTTAATGCTAGTTCTTTTGGCGTCCTCTAAAACACTAATGTTCATTCATCGGTCTTGCCATTTAATCCGTAGGATCATTCTTAGACATCGCTGGTGGTATTTTCTAGGCCTTTCATGTGTCTTCTGTAGGACTGTAGGCGGTCTATGTTTCGCAGCCATATGTACCTAAGTGTTGGTATTACAACTGCATTGTAGACAAGAAGATTGATTCGCTGCCAGATGGCTCCCAATGTATGGGTAGTGTTTTACGTTCTGCAAGGAATGGTAATTTATATTTATATTTCGGGCTTGGGGATAAGTGCCCGCTGCGGGTTGGTGAAGAATCTGTGTCTTGTTAAAGTTGACCCCTAGGTCGATTCTCCTGTATGCCTGGCTGAATGCATTGATAATTGCCTGAAGATCTTCCTCTGTATTGGTCATCACGACGTTATCATCCGCATATTGAAGTTCAATTATCGATGTCCTCGATACTTTCGTCTTGGCTCGAAATCTGTTTAGGTTGAATAAGCCGCCATCAAGTCTGATTGGATTTCCATTCCTGACGGCAGGTGACCTTCGACAAGGTGAAGTATGAATGCTATAAATAGAGAAAATAAAGTGGATGCAACAACACAGCCCTGTTTAACGCCTGTAGTTATTTGAAAAGATTCTCCTTATCCATCGTTGCTTAGGACGGTTGCATTCATATTATATACTTTTTCGGACACCCAACCTTTGCCAATATCTTCTAAAGAGTTTTTCTGTTAACCGAATCACATGCTTTTACTGAATCTATGAAGGCCATGTATGGAGGGCGATTTTGTTTCCTGGATTTCTCTTGCACTGGAAATCATGTCAGCTGTCAGTTGCTCCTCGGATGGGTCTAAATCCGCACTGTCTCTGGAGGTTCTCTCCGGCAGTTGGGATTTGATAATATCCTGGCAAGTATCTTTCCCGCAACAGAAAGTAAATATATTCCTCTCTAGTTCCTAAATTGAGCCTTGTCTCCCTTTTTAAAAATGGCAACTATGGAGGCATCTCTTAGAGGAACAATTTTATCAGATCTACGTACACATGATATGGTTTCCCTGAACTGGGCATAAAATTCCTTTTTTTTGGTTTTCGTCATTTGTGAGGGTTAAAGCGTAGGCGCTGATTAGCGCAGCTTGTTGGTTGTTGTTGAGGTTTACCCGCAGTATCATCAGTCTTTCGCATATTCCGAGTGGAAACTCAGCATGAAAGATGGTCCGTAAATTCATTTTTTATAGCGAACCCCATTCCGTGGATGCGAGGTTCATTTTTTCCCTTCCCTTTCCAGGAAAACATACGACCTTTTCCGTGCTCCTTGAATTGACTGCTCTTCTCGACATCTCTCAATATCGATTTTAAAAGGATTTACAGAAAAAAATAGAGTAAACGTGAACCATGATCTAACTAAATTCAACCTGTAGTTAGGGATATATGGCCGCGAAAATGTTTAAGAAAGAACATTATCCCAAGTATGTATGGCTATGTCACGGTAACGTCTTTATCAGAAAGGAGGATCATTCCAAAATCATCTTAGTCGAAAGTAAGGAACAATTGTCTGAATAGCAGTCGACAAAAAGTAAGTTAACCGTTCTATGTATGAATATTCAAAGCCTTCGTATAATAAGTTCGATGATGTGCAATGGGCTCTTTCACTAAAATTTAAATACGTAATTTAAGTATAAAATCCCAAAGGAGGGACTATTTTAGGCATATATACCAAAAAAAAATGTTCTACAAGGTTAAATAAGTTTTTTACAGGCATTTTAAACTAGCAAAATTCAAATAAATTAAAAACGCGCCGATTTGCTGACGTCGCATAAATATTTTTCATTTCGCTTGTTGTTGTAAGGAGCTGACCGCCTCGGCTGTATTTACCCTATAGTAAATGCAGGTAAAGGTTCGAATGCGCTGTCGTCGGTGGTGCCTAAATGTAGTGCAACGTAAAATAAATAAATAAAACTAAACATAAAAAATTATATTAAATTGTGTTTAAGCATAATTTCAATAAAAATGTTATAAAATCTTGAATCCATAACTAATTAATTTAACTACTTTTCATGATATTTTGCGAACATTTCAGAATTAAATCTATTACAAATTTTCAATGTTGACAATTAGTGGCAACACGGTCAAATTGCGAGCTGCGACGTCACAGAAATAAATTCTGGGTTTTTATTTGAAGGTATTTCTTTTTTTTTTCTGTTTTCTCAAGAAGGAGTATGAATTTTTCAAAAGTAAAAATACAGAAAATTCTGTTTTTAGTTGCTTTATCCAAATATGCCAATTTCAAAAATTAGTGAAAGAGCCCATTCCTTCTATAGTTCGAGAAAATTGTGATATTTAAGCTTTGTCAGAGACGTGGTTGAGTAACAATGAATCTTGTTTATATGAATTAGACAATTACACCTCAGCACATTGCTGTAGAGAAAAAAAGGGATGGGGGTGTGAAGCAAGTTGGCTGTGTATCAAGTTAGATGACTGCAATATTAAACAGTCTTATTTATAAGCCGTCATCACTTAATAATGGAGATTTTTTCTTCAATTTGGAAGATATAAGTATTAGTAAAGCATCGAAAAAGACATGTCTTAATTGGCGACATAAATATTAGTTTATTAGAAAATTCAAACCTAGTTACGAATTTTAAAAGATTTTTAACTTTAAATAATTTTCAAATTGTAAATTACATGTCAGAGCAGAATGCTCAATGCAATAACTCAAATAACTCAAATTTAATAATTTTAATTAATGTACAGGGTGTCCCAAATTCGAGGGCCAACATGGGGATATCTGTAACCGTTAGAGATGCGAGGGTGGTTAAATTAGACAAAAGTTGCGCATTTTGATGCTTAACAAAATGCCATTTTGAAATTTGAGAAATTCCCAATATTTCCGGAAATATCCGGAAAATTCCGAAAATTGCGATTCTGGTTTTTATTTTTTTC